AAAACCCGGTCTTCACTGTTTTTGTATTGGTAACCCTTGTATCTGTGCTGTAAACTAGGTCATGCAGTCTGTGTTTTGTGTTCATCCTTGCACTTTTGCTGTATGATAGGCTTATCGCCTGAAGGAATTGTGCTAATCCTGGCACCTTTGCTGTATGTTACAATTTATAGATTTAATTAGGTACACAGACAAACTGTGCGTACGCCTGTGAACAGGAGCATGAATAACCATAGAGAGATTTACAAAATAACAGACCCCAAATATATAAAGGGTTTACAAAACAAAAAACGACAAACGGCATACTACTATAACTAAATAACACGCGCACACACAACAACCAAAAACACACTATATAATTTTATATATTATATATAAAATTATTATATAAATATAATATATTATATAATAAGAGAGAGGAGAGAGAAGAGAGAGAGAGAAGAGAGGGGGGGGGGGGGGCCCGAAAGCACACCCACTCAAAGGGAAAAAGATAAACCTATAACGTGACACAGACAAAGACGATAAGTAGACACACTGACAGGAGGGGCACCCAGAATAACCAATTATAAAAGCAGACGGGGAAACAAAACCCTCCTCCGGTCGGGGAACACTGAGTCAGACATAGATAAAGGGCATACGTATCGGGCAAAAAAGTCCAGCCTAGGGGTTCAAAAAACTGCACAGCAGAAAGACAATCGCAATCAGACATATTTTTTCGAAAAAGACTGGCAGAAGACGAAAAACAGTAAAGGAACAGGAAAAGCGTGGGCAACCAGATACCACCGACACACAGATGGGGAACAGGCTACTTGGAAAGACCTGTTAGCAACGTCGGTATAACAAAGGGGCGCTGAAACACAAGGCAACCACTCAAGCAAAAGACAATTACAAACAGAAAACACCACAGACCAAAGACCACAAAAAAACATCAAACAGACGAAACCCGCGAAAATATAGACGAAAAGGGGGAAGACAAGCGAGATTCAAGGGAAAAGACCCCAGATAAAATTTGAAAACCCAGACAAGACGAAAAAAAAAAGCAGACACGTGACAAACCAAACCTGTGCAAATAAGAAAAGCACACGCAAGGGAAAGACCACCGCGAAACATGGGGGCGAATACAAAAGGAATGGGCACGCGCAGAAACAGACGGGGGACAACGACGTCATCGATAAATCACGGGGGAATCCCAACCATTCGGGCCGACAGCAATTTTAAAACAAGGGCGCAGACAAAGCTTCAGGGAAGCTGATTTACTTTGTCGCAGCGAAAAAAGCTGTATTCCCCTCCCCCTTTAAAACGGGTTAAACGTTCATATGGGTTCCTGCCGATAAATTAGTGGTCGGATTTCATTTTACACGATCGCTAGAGTCTGGGCGGGCTGTGTTTTTGCCCTTTCTCACCGCGCCCGGGGGGCTTTGGGTAAGGCCATCCATAATAGTAAAATTTACACTGGTACCTGTGAATTCGAAAATAAACCGTTGCGAGACGGCGTTCGAAATTTTAATTGTTTTGATTTTCAGGGGACCTTTCCCTATTTTCATTAAAGAAAAAAAGTTAAAATTTTTTCCCGGGTCAAAAAAAACTCCGATTTTTCAAAGTAATTTTTTCCAATAAAACCCCCGTCAAAATAAAAAAAAAAAAAATCATTTCGAAAGTCAGTCGGGATATGTCCCTTTTTCGAACCTTGCTTCCCTAACAACCTCCGAAAATTTCCCGACGCAAAAATGTCCCCCCTTCCATACACCCTCTGGGGGTCAAACCCCAATCCTGCACCCATCTTTTCCTTGGTTCCTCTTTTTCTCTTCCCGGGGTACCCCTATTATTGTTCTCTCTAAACTTTCGTGACGTTTTAAATAAACCCAAAAAATTTTAATTTTTTTGTGTTTTATATCTTAAAACCCCCCTTCTCAAAACCGCTTGAAAATTTGGGGCATTTTTTCTTTTTTTACCCTGATATTCCTAACCCACTTTAAAATTGTAAAAAAGGCTTTTTAAAGCTGTTCACTTGTTTTGTATGTGTCCGCTCCACGGGCGTTTTGCAAAGGGAAAGACAGATAGTGTACTGTGGGCAACCCCCTCTGAACCCCCTAGGTCCGCCTGAACCCCCCAGGGTCCGCNAGAGTCGCAGCTGGATTTTAAAGCGAGTCTCCTATCGACTGCACTAACGCGGCCACTTTAGGTCATGTTATGATGCGAAGGAAATTGGAACATGTTGTGAGGACTAAATATCTGTAGAAAAGGAAAAAAAAAATGGCAACTTGAAAAGAATCTTGACAGTCTTGTGTCCTTGTATGGAGGAGTGTCAGCACACGCAATGATACACGATGTTAACGATCGCAGATTGTGGAGATGCATGTCGACCAAACCAGGGGCAGAGGTGAAATCGTCGCGAGATGCCTCCTAAAGGACCATTACAAGCCGTGCAAGTATTTGGGCGCAAGAAAACTGCAACAGCAGTTGCCCACTGTAAGCGTGGAAGTGGACTCATCAAAGTCAATGGCCGCCCACTGAACCAGATGGAGCCAGAAATTCTCAGAGTCAAGCTCCAAGAACCAGTGCTGCTTTTGGGCAAGGACAGATTTGCTGGAGTGGACATCCGTGTGAGGGTCAAGGGAGGCGGTCATGTGGCACAGATTTATGCTATCAGACAAGCTATCTTCAAGGCTATCGTCTCCTACTACCAGAAATATGTGGATGAGGCCTCAAAGAAAGAGATCAGGGATGTGCTGATTCAGTATGACAGGTCTCTGCTGGTTGCAGATCCCCGTCGCTGTGAACCAAAGAAGTTCGGAGGACCTGGAGCTCGTGCCAGATACCAAAAATCTTACCGTTAACCTTTGGGATATCTGTTTTTGTGTGTGGAAAATAAAATCCACTGCCATTGACCAAAAAAAAAAAAAAAAAGGCAAGGAACTTGATAATGACGAAGGCGTGTACAGATCTGAACTAGCCCTTGATTATCTATTGCTTCCGGTGTACGCGGGCGTCGATGGAAACGAAAGTATTGATAAGTTGGCCGGATTCGCTATCACTGCTGAAGGTGAACCCATGGATCATGCTGATATTTTTAATACCCTCAGAGAAGTGGGAAGGGCGGAGGACTTTCGAGACAGCGATTCCACATCGCTCACCAGAATGAAAGACTCGACAGTTAAGATCCGCATAGCCAAAAGCAAGAAACACACTAGGCATACAAAAAGACTTATCAATCAACAAAGATCTGACACTGTTAGTCACAGGACGCTGGGGCTCAAATTGATAGAAGGATCTAAGCAAATACCGCCATATTCCAGAGTGTAACGTGTGACCTCGAACCGGATCCTTTCCTCCTTCATCAGCTCCTCCTTGCGTGTTTGAGGCGATAGGCACAAAATTTAGCAGAAACTACTTTTATCGAGTGGCATGTCTTTACAGTAATAACTGCTCTAGATATAAAGAGATATGGTCGCTAACAAATTTCCAGCGCGCTATGGTTTATCTGAATTGTTCAACCAGCATCCATGAAGAGGGAGCTTCAGGTTATAATTGTGATTAGATTATGTGCGCCATGTAAAAATAGCTGAGCATTGAACGCCACCAAAAGCCCTGAAAAGGATACCTGCAGTGATGATGCGATCGAAGGAGACAGACCCAAATACTGTCCCGACAGGCTACGAAGTCGTCTACCGGTGAGCCAATGGGCGACCCATTCGCCGATGTGAACTTTACCCCTTTGAACTTTGAACATCGCCTGCATATTCTCTTTTTTTTTCAATAAAGCGTTAATACTAATTTGAAGAACAACCCCTACCGCCTACACGCCTCCAAAATAAAACATTAAATATCCAATCATGGGCTATCTTTTCCCCTTTTCATTCCTAAAACAAAACAGTCAATTTCCAATCATGCACTCAATTTTCCGCTCATTCCAAAACCAAAACATTAACTGTCCAATCATGCGCTGTTAATGCTTTTCCCATGTAAGACTTGAGATTCTCATTAGAGCTTTGTAAGTTTGTCGTGTGCGTGTATTGATTTTTCTAAATAAATATTGAACGAAACTGCCAACAGTGGACGCTAAAAATAGAGCAGCGCTAATTAAAGATAGTAAAACAGTATTAACATGTTTGTTTTTTCCATGGTCGTTTCATTGCATCAAGAAAACCAGTTCGGAAACGGCAACATTTTGGAATCAAGGATAAGTTCTCTTAGCGGTTTCTTGTCACCGCAGAACTAGTAGGTGGTTGGGGTGTGTGTTTGCTTCGTACTCTGAAAAGTCACAGGTTCGGTTCAGCACATGACCTCTTGCAGTTTATGAATCTGCTGCCGGAGGTCACGGGTTTAGCATTACGTCCTTGGGTTTGCAAATGCAGGTATTTCTGAAATCCCCGGTGTCGTTTTTGAACTGTGAAGTTTCGTCAGAGAGCTGGTAAACGCGCTGTTGTTACTATGTTTGTTCTATCAGTGCAAGACATGGATTGTGTCGTATTGCAGTTTTGTCACGTACCTTTACTCCATAATCATTTTCCTGAAATTCCCAGGTACTCTGAGACAGGGGTGTTCCGAATGTCACCTCTCGTTTGTCTAGAGGCCAAGTCCTCGGTTCCAACATACATTCAACCTATCTCAGAAATGAGGTGACTCGAGCTATGACTCCACAGGATTAATACTAACTCTTGGGTACAACTCGGCCAGACATCCTCATTACTATTTTCGCCCCCAGACTGGTAATCAACGTTAACACAGTCGTACGAATACGCAACAGTGGATTTGACAAAACATTTTTGAAACCCCAACAACAACAAGCATATAGATCAACTCAGCTTCGTTCAAGAACAAGAAGACTTCCGAACAAACATGACTCCCCAATTTACATTAAACAAAACCTCCCAATCCATATTAAACACAACCCCCCAATCCATATTAAACACAATCCCAATCCATTTAAACATGACCCCCCAGTCCATATTAAACATTGCAGATCGAGCCTACTTTAACTCATAATTACGTGTTTTTTGCAGTGATCCTGACGTTTGTCAACTGCTACAGTGTGACCTGGTCAACCCGTGTACAGGATATCTTTACCTACGCCAAGCTGATCGCTCTGGCATTGATTATAGTGACGGGATTTGTGCAGCTGGGCAGGGGTAAGTCTGTGTGTCTTGTGTTGTTGACCTTTGCATCTGTGCTGTAAGCTAGGTCTTACAGTCTGTGTCTTGTGTTGTTGACCCTTGCGTCTGTGCTGTAAGCTAGGTCTTACCGTCCGTGTTTTGTGTTTTTGACTTTTGCATCTGTACTGTAAATAACTTTACATGCAGCTTCAGAATATTATAAATAATGAAAGAAAGGGCAACTTAAAAATTTTGATGGGTGACTTGAATGCTAAGATAGGATCAGACAACACAGGTTATGAAGAAATTATGGGGAGACATGGTCTAGGAGAAATGAATGAAAATGGAGAATTGTTCACAAATTTTTGTGCAGGTAACCAGTATGTTATTGGTGGAAGTATTTTTTCCCATATTAAAAAGAATACACAAGGCAACATGGGAATCACCAGACCATAAGACAACTAATCAAAATTGACCACATAATGTATTAACAAAAAGTTTAGATCATCCCTTTACGATGTTAGGGCTTTCAGAGGTGCCGATGTATTTACTGACCATTTCCTGGTGATAAGTAAAATCAAGTTGAAACTAAAAAGATATTATAACATCTTATAATCATAGAAACCAATATAATGTAGGCTTTCTCAGAGATAAAGAAATTAAGGAACAGTTCTCAGTCACGGTCTCTAATAAGTACCAAGTGTTGCAGCAGTTAGCTGAAGATGTCAACACAGAAGTCTGCTGGGATCAGATCAAAGGAATCTGGAATGAATCTTGCGAGAAGTTCTTGGCAAGAAAGAAAGGAAACATAAAGCATGGATAACACCAGAAACCATTAAACTGATTGAAGACAGGAAAAGTAAAAAGGCAGAATTAAAACAATAGCAAAACTAGAGCTGCTAAAGCTAGAGCTCAGGAGAATTACACAGAAGCCAACAAGGAAGTTAGGAGGCATATAAGGGCAGATAATGAAAGTGAAATATCTAAATGATCTAGCACAAGAAGCGGAGACAGCAGCAGCAAAAGGTAACCTCAGAGAACTTTACAGCAACACAAGAAAATTAGTAGGTAAATATAGTCAGCCAACTGGATCAATCAAAAAATAGTCAAGGAAAGGTACTTACTAACACTAAAGATCAAATGGACAGATGGGTTGAATATTTTGAAATGCTTCTAAATAGACCAGGCCCAGAGGTTCCCCCAGATATCCAGCCTTTAGAAATGGAACTGAATATCAACTGTGAGATACCATCCAAAGAGGAAATTAGAAAAGCTATAAATCTTCTTAAGGAAGGAAAGGCGTCAGGCCCAGATGGTATCCCAGCTGAAGCCATCAGGACCAACATAAACACATCAACAGAATTGCTACATAGATTATTCAGTAAAGTCTGGGAGACCGAAGAAATACCAGCAGACTGGAGGGAAGGATATCTTGTGAAACTGCCCACAAAAAGGTGATCTACAGGAGTGTGAAAACTATAGAGGAATTATGTTGCTGTCAGTTCCTGGACAAAATATTAAGTAGAATTATTTTGGAAAGATTTAAAAAGATGCTATTGATAAAATGCTAAGAGATGAGCAGGCGGGTTTTCGGTCCAACAGATCCTGTACTGATCAGATAGCCACATTACGTATTATAATAGAGCAAAGCATTGAACTGAACTCACCACTTTACATTGGATTTATAGACTATGAAAAAGCATTTGACAGCATTGATAGGGAATCTCTCTGGAAATTGATGGGGCACTATGGAATCCCACAGAAAATTATCAACTTAGTAAAGGCAACATATAAAGACATGAAATGTCGTGTTCTTCATGAGGGAAAGCTAACAGATACATTTGAAATAAAAAAACAGGTGTGCGACAGGGATGTCTTTTGTCGCCTCTCATATTTTTACTGGCTATAGACTGGACTATGAAAACAGTAACTGCTAACACCAAGAATAGAATTCAGTGGACCCCTACAAAACAGCTTGATGATCTGGACTTCGCTGATGATATTGCCCTTCTGTCCCATTCACGGAATCAGATACAAGATAAATTAAATATACTTAATGCGAGATCACAGCAGCTTGGTCTGAAAAGATAATGAGAATAAATCAGGCAAATAGTAATGTGGTTTCTCTTGATGGCACCCCACTCCAAGACGTGGAGTCGTACACCTATTTGGGCAGTAATGTAGATAAAGATGGAGGAACTGATAGAGATATTAAAATAAGAATACAAAAGGCAAGAGGGGGCTTTCATAGCACTAGGGAATTTGTGGAGGTCAAAAGAATTAAAAAGAAATACTAAACTAAAAATTTTTAATTCTAATGTCAAATCAGTACTATTGTATGGGGCGGAAACATGGAGAACAACGAAGGCAATTACTAAATAAATTACAGACATTCATTAACTGGTGCCTGCGCAGAATAGAGGGGAATAAAATGGTATGATAGAATAACTAATGTAGAACTTTGGGAGAGAACTAAACAGGCTCCAGTGGATCAGGAGGTGAGGAAAAGACGCTGGCGTTGGATAGGGGCACACACTGAGAAAACAGGAGAACAGCATAACTAGAATGTCTTTGCATTGGGACTCCCCACAGGGGGCATAGGAATAAAGGAAGGCCAAAAAAACACATGGAGAAGAGAGCTGGAGAATGAGGTTAGAAAGATTGGGAGGACATGGGGAGAGCTCCATGTAATGGCGAAGGATAGAACGACTTGGCGTGAGTTGGTTGAGGGCCTATGCTCCATTGGGGGATAAAAAGGCAGAAGAAGAAGAAGACTGTAAATAACACCCACACACACACACACGCTCGCGCGCACGCGCACACACACACACACACACACACATATATATATATATATATAGAGAGAGAAATCGAGAGAGAGGGGGGGGGGGGATAACCACAGAAAGACACGATCTGACTCAAGGTAAGAAAGATAAACCACTATGACATAGACTACTAGACAGAAAGATGATAAAGTTAGACCCACTGACATAAAGATACACGCAGACATAGACACACATTATAAACGCAGACGGAGAAACAAGACACGCAGTCTCTTCGTCAGGAGAGGACACCGAGGTACAGCAGACACAGAGACAGACATACAGTTAAGGCACATACATAGATAGAAGACAGTAAAGGCAGATACAGACATAAGGTGACACAAAGACAAAAGGGCACAGGGAAAGAGCGATGGGAGCAGACACAGATACATACAGACACACAGATGAGGAGACAGGCAATACTCACACAGACCATAGACAATAGCAACAGTCAGAGGCATAGACAAAGTCGTATACAGAAACGATCATAGGGCAGACACATACAGAGCCATAAAGGCAAGTTACAGACGGAAAAACACACAGACGCAAAGACACGCAGACACGGACATAAAGACAAGCTCAGATACAGACAGAAAGACACGCAGACACATATAGACAGACACAGACGGAAAGACATGCAGATACAGACATAAAGACAAGCGCAGATATAGACAGAAAGACATGCAGATACAGACATAAAGACAAGCGCAGATATAGACAGAAAGACATGCAGATACAGACTAGTAGACGCAGACGGAAAGACAAGTGAATATATAGGCGGAAAGACACACGCAGACGGAAAGACAAGTGCATATAAAGGCGGAAAGACACACGCAGACGGAAAGACAAGTGCATATAAAGGCGAAAAGACACACGCAGACGGAAAGACAAGTGCATATATAGGCGGAAAGACACACGCAGACGGAAAGACAAGTGCATATATAGGCGGAAAGACACACGCAGACGGAAAGACAGACGTGGACATGGGGACTGAAATACACAGAGACATAAAGACACGCGCAGAAACAGACGGAGGGACAAGCGTACAGTCATCGATATAATCACAGGGAAATGCCTAACCAAAGTCTGGCCGACAGCAAATTTATGAACAAGTGGCGCTAGACAAGATGGCTTCACGCGATAGTCTGATAATTACATTTGTCCTGCAGTGAAAGAAGCTGTCTCACCAGGCCACTTATATGACTGGATGAAGCTGTTCATCATCGTGTACCATGCCGATAAGATTAGTGGTCAGGATTTACCATCTTACACGATCGCTAGAGTCGTGGAGCAGGTCTGTGTTCTTGCCTTACTCACCGCGCCAGGTGGGCTAAGCCATCCAGTAATAGTAAGATTTACACTGGTACCTGTGAATTCGAACATAATCCGTTGCGAGACGGCGTTCGAATTTCAAATTGTTCGATTGTCAGGGCACCTTTCCCTATTGCAATTAATAGAAACTAAGTTAATATGTTCCAGGGTCAAAGAAACTCCGATTTTACAGTGTATTTTCCAAATAACACCACACTGTCAACATAAAAAAAAAAATGATCAAATTCGAATCAGTCAGTCGGTAGTATGTCCTTTGCAGAACCTTGCTTCCATAACAACCCTCCGGAAACTTCCCGATCGCAAGAAAGATGTCCCGCTTCCGATACACCCATCTGGGGATCAACCGCCACATCCTGCACCCATCTTCTCCTTGGCCTTCCTCTTCTTCTCTTCCCGGGCATATACCCCTCCATTATTGTTCTCTCTAAACTTTCGTGACTTTTTAAGTAACCAAAATATTTCAATTTTCTGTGTTTTATCATCTTTAATAGCCAACCTTCTTCAATATTCAGTTCTTGAAGTATGGATGCATTTGTTCTTTTCTTTACCCATGATATTCCTATAACCCGACTATAACATGTGTAAACAAAGCCATTTATACGCTGTTCAGCTTGTTTAGTAAGTGTCCAGCTCTCACGGACGTATGTTGCAATGGGAAAGATGCATGCTCTTAGAAATCTAATATCGAATACAAACATTTAAAAAAATATAAAAACATTGTATTGACTGCACCTTAATGAAAATTATGACAAAGCACATAGAAGTACGTGGAGAAAGGATTTCGGGAGATTATTGTTAAGAAGGCAAATCAACTTCCATGACAACTTTAGGAATCTTTTCTAGTCTTTCATATCGTAGTCGTTCACCACTTGTAGCGGGAGTTGCGGTCACTAGTTTTTGTTAACAGCCAGCGTTTCAAGGTGGTCTGGTGGTCAATGACATCATTGAATAAGTTAACACACCTGTTAACTAGGGCTCTTTCAAGGTACCACATCTCAACAACTTCTTGCCTTTTCAACCAAATGGTCAAAGGATCTTTGATTCCAGCAGAGCTGATCCTCCCAGCTTCCTCCTCTTCCTCCCCGCAAGAAATTTCTTCTTCAGTGGCTTCCTTCCGCTGCTGGTGAAGATTCTGAAGCTCTCTGGCGTTGTCAGCTCAGTCGCGTGATCGGCACGTGCATGGGTTCCGGGACCCTGTTATAGGGAAAACAAGATTAGACCCAATTTTTACCCAAAAACATGTCGTAAGAGTCGACTAATTGGGAGCTTCCTTCTGAGTCGGAGTGCATCTGTCTGAGAGGCGAAGAACCAGCTGTCTGCATACAAATGAGTCAGATCTGTAAAACTGTTGCACAGGCAACATTCAGTTCTGCAACAGGACTGCCGTCCAGAAGTGGATGAACAGCCTGAACTTTCCGCCAGAGTTTACAGCTGGTGAACGCGAAGAAGAAGAAGAATAACACAAGCCTCATTTGTATTCCTAGACAAATAAACACTAAACGTTTCTAACATGTTGTCCTGATCTTCTTTACAGGAGAGTTTGAGCATTTCCAGGCGCCTTTTGAGAATACGGAGACGGACATCGGCAAGATATCCTTGGCTTTCTACTCGGGACTGTTCGCATACAATGGCTGGTAAGAAAACGTTGTCAGTCTTTGTCAGCTTTATTTTTATTTTCTGTCTTTTCTTTTTTCTTTTTTTTTTTATTTATTTCTTTTATTTATTTCTTTTATCTTTATTTATTTATTTTCTTTATTTTTCTTTATGTTGTATTTGTCTGTCTGTCTGTCTGTCTGTAACTTTATCATTCCAAAATTGTCTGTCTGTCTGTCTCATCTCCCTGTCTGTGTCTGTAACTGTCTGCCTGTCTAAAATCATTTCAAGATGACCTGCAGGGCCTAAAATAGATACCTGGGAACTAAAGGCGGTCAGTTTGATGTCCACCACACCACCTCCCGAGTGCCTGTTGGCCTGTACAAATTTGAATCGAGCATCATATGCGGGATTCGCCTTAAGACGCATTAAGGATTCCTTTTTTTTTTGGCTGGTTAATTCCAATTCCATTTCCAGTTGTCCAACAAAAAAAAAAAAAAATCCAAACTTGATCCCTTTTCAGCCGCCCGGAGGCCTGCTATATGAAGGAAGGTTCCTTGCCTATCTTATTTGGTTTCCTATTATTTGTGGTGTGTACTCTGTCTTCCTAAGTCCGGTGTGGTACTTGGGTTTCTTGGTCCGGTTTGTTGGTTAAACTAATGGAGATCATTAAAAATTGTATACCTCACTGGAATCAGGCAATAGTTGAAGATTGTGTGGGGGGGGGGGGGCAATAGACGCACTGTCCCCCTCCCCCCAAGCATGTAAAAAAAGTCGACTAGCTAGGTGTGTTATCTTCGAAATCGATGTGCACCTTCTTAAGAGACGAGGAACCAGCAGTCTGCACACAAATAAATCAGATCTGTAAACGGATGTACACGGAAAAACGTCCAGTTATGGAACAAGACAAAGGTCTAGAAGTGGCCGAACAACCAGAACTTTCTGTCGTAGTTTACAGCCTGGGAACGTGGAGAAGAAGAAGATATAGCGTTTATAAGAAAACACTTACAGATAACGGTGTCTAGAAAATCGATTATGCACTGTCACAACCCACAGTCTAACACACATAAATCAATACACGACAACACACATTGCACAGTTATTTCTGTAAGAGACTTTGCCACGTTGTGTAACTTCTGTACGTCTTTAATTATACTGGTCTCTGCTTCCCCATGTTGTAGGTTCCAGGCCTGATTGTGTGTGTGTGTGTATTTGGGGGAGGGGGGATAGACTCATTGCCTTCTTACAAGCATGTCGTAAAAGGGAACTAATTAGGGGATTCTTTGCTTTGAAGTCGGCGTGTGTCTGCCTGAGAGGCGAGGAATCAACAGACTGCACCCACAAAATAGACTGGATCTGTAAAACGGATGCACACGCAAAAATCATGTTTTGAAACAAGACTATATAAACTTTAGAATGAATGTTAACAATATTAATATTTATTTAAAGCAGTAAAATAACGATCCTGATGTTTGTTTTTTTTCACCTCTGCAGTTGTAATACCTGTCAGTAAAAAGTGAACCTGCCTAAAAATATAAAAAATAAAATAAAAACAATTGTACGAAAGTGGGTGCTTTTTTAATATCCTACCCCAAACAGGGGAAATCCGCAGGTCACGGGACAGTCTAATATTTCAGGTTGTGGTAGAAAGGCTGCATGTCGTGGGACTTAGGCTGCACTATCTAGTGGGACGTAGGTTAAGGCCAGTTCTAGATGGCAAGAAACCAACAGACTGCATACAAATTGGTCAGATCTGTCAAACGGATGCACACGCAACACTCAGATTCTTGAACAGGACTGGAGTCCAGAAGTGGTGAACGCAAAGAAGAAGAAGATGAAGATTGTTTTAATGGCAGGTATGGGTCGAAATTGACTGAAGAAAAACGTATGTAAGAGAACCTGCGATGATGAACGCTGATGAGAGAGAACTGTGGTGCTGGGCTGGATTCCAATCATAAGTAAAGATCCCTTTTCACGCCTTTAGGCGCTTTAGGCATATGGGGAGAGCACCCATAATTTTACAGACCAATCGTCACTAGGTGGGTCATGTGGTCAGCATTACACCTGCCACCTTTACTTCCCCAGGACATCACATACTGGTACCCACTTTAGGCTGGGTCGACCTGTGACCCCCCCCCCCCCCCCCCCCCCGTACCAACCCCCCCCGTACCATGATACAAATCTACGCAACCAACAGTGGGTTTCGATCTCGGTACTTTGGAATTACGAGTCGGACTCGCAACGGAATTCCAATCATGGGTATCAAAAATATTGTGCACAATGGAATGGAATAGATGTTGGGGGGGGGGGGGGGGGGGGAGGGGGTGTAATGCACTACAGTCCCCGTGTGATGTATAAACTAGACTCATATTGATATACGCCAACAGGTAATGGCCAGGTACAGTCATGGAAGATAAAGGCGGTCGGAGTGATTTTAATCAAATCACCCACCCAGTGCCGAATGGCCTATATGATATAAATCTATGATATAAATCTATAAATGCGTGGGAAAAGACCCAAAAGAAAGAAAATACGAAGAAGAATTGATATTATTGGGGACAGCACCATGTCGGTTTTTACTATTTCTAACATCGTCTTGTCTGGTCAGTTGTCGCCACTGCGCCCTCACAACCTCACGAAGATTGGCCACGTTTCTTTTCCGAGCACGCTTTCGGGGACTCTTGTCTGTCGGTCAGGCTGTGTTAGTGGCTTTTCCTATGTATGTCTGTCGTAACCTTCACGAGCGATGTACTAACACGTTCATTTAGCTGTAACCCTCCTACAGTTTATCCCTTCCATTCGTGCGCCACAGATGGTCTGTGTGAGAACCCTAAAGCGCTAGGTAACCGAAAAAAAAAGAAAGGAAAAAAAAAAAAACGGTGTGCCAACATGGATTGTGTGTGAAGCATAAAGAGCCTCGAAATGACCGACAAAGGGGTATCCCAAAGATGGATTCTGTGGGAAGCATAAAGAACCTCGACAGTCCTACAGATCGATGTCCCAAAGATGGGTTATGTGAAAAACCACAGATAACCCCCAGCTTATCGATAAAACGATGTCCCAAGGATTGATTGTGTGTGAGGCATAAAAAATCCCAACTGTTGGACAAAACGGTGTCCCAAGGATGGATTGTGTGTTAACCACAAATAATCCCAACTGTCCTACTCAAACTACCAGTGGCTGGCCTATCCAACATTACCTTGGCAACACAAACAGTTTTATTAACATTGATAAAACAAATCACCTCGCCACAGCTGATCTAGAAACATTACGCAGTCACGTCTTTCGTGACCTGGCAATTTCCGGTGTCATGTTGTTTTCTCACCCCGTTTGTTGACATTGGCAGTTGACTTGCAGAAACTGCGATTGTGGATCTTTGTCCACGCTTACAATTTCCGGTCATTTCCCTGTTACCGAACCTGTTATTTACAACACATCTGACGTTCTACAGAATTCACATTCTGTATACTATAAAACTTCCTTCTTTTTTTTCTCCATAGTTAAATGAAGGATTAGAATTCACATTCTGTATACTATAATGCTTTCTTCTTCTTCTTCTTCTTCTTCTTCTTCTTCTTCTTCTTCTTCTTCTTCTTCTTCTTCTTCTTCTTCTTCTTCTTCTTCTTCTTCTTCTTCTGCTGCTGCTGCTGCTGCTGCTGCTGCTGCTGCTGTCTGCTGCTGCTGCTGGCGGCTGCTGCTTCTTCTGCTTCTTCTTCTTCTCTTCTTCTTACTTCTTCTTCTTCTTCTTCGTCTTCTTCTTCTTCTTCTTCTTCTTCTTCTTCTTCTTCTTCTTCTTCTCCTTCTTCTTCTTTCTTCTTCTTCTTCTTCTTCTTCTTCTTCTTCTTCTTCTTCTTCTTCTTCTTCTTCTTCTTCTTCTTCTTCTTCTTCTTCTTCTTCTTCATAGTTAAATAAAGGACCCGCCATCATGCCTACTGGGCATGACCCATATTGTGAAGACTAATCGGCACTTGGTAGGCGATGAGGTTAGCATCACACCGGTCGTCTTTACTTCCCGCGATCTTCTTTTTCATAATCTTCTGTAGTCATTTTCTTAATTCGGTGTTCTGAACCCTTACACATCCGTGTACCACCAACACGGCAACTTATTTCACGACCTACCTGACAGCCAACTAAACAGGAAGCAAAAACCAACAAAGACAACAGTTTTTTTCTGAAATCTCCTATCACAAAGTTACAATTCTGTGTGAATGCTGCAGCTGCTTCTGTTTAGGAATTCTGATATAGGAATATTACAATAATATCCGTTCCATTTCTCCGTTTGGTTGTTAGTAAGTTTGTTGGGTTATCATTATTGTACTCCGGATAGTTTCATACGAGCTCAGATCCTTCCCTCAGTTTGTATTCTAGCGTCCGGTGGATAATAGTACCAGTTCTATGTTGATTAACAAGTCCTCTGATGTGAGTCTCGTTTTTTTTTTTTGTTGCTATACCGATCTTAACTCTCAAGTCTATCAGTCTGTCGAGTGACGTGGATGTACTGCCCCTAAAGTCTCCCACCCTTTCCATTTCTCGGAGGATGATAATAATATCAGCATGATCCACAGGTTGACCGTCGATAGTGATAGCGGATCCAGCCAACCTATCAGCTCTTTTATTCCCATCGCCGCCCGCGTGTCCCGGAACGAAAATAAAGGTGACTTCACGCACAGTGGACTTCTGTGATGACTCCATCTACTGCTTGGTTATTGTTTATTGACAGGCCACAATGCTCTCTTCACACAAATAAGAAGTCTATGCAGTGTTGATCCTACAGACTGGATGTTTATAACCACCCACCCTAACCCCGTTATATGATTAAGTCTTTATGTGGGTTTCGGTGCCGTTTAATAGGGAAAACAAGAATACACTCACTGCCTACCCAAAGCATGTCGTAAGAGTCGACTAATTGGGAGCTTCCTTCAAAGTTGGAGTGCATCTGCCTAAGAGGCAAGAAACCAACAGTAAGCAAACAAAGGAGTAAGATCTGTCAAACGGATGCACACGCAACACCCAGGTTCTGAAACAGGACTGCAGTTCAGAA